ACCTTGTACCTTATTTTTTTTTTTTCAAGACAGGGTCTTGCCAAGCTGCTCGGTGGCCCAGGCAGGGCTGATATTTAGGATCCTCCTGCCTTAGCCTCCCAGAGTGCCGGGGATTTTGTGCGGGGTACCTCGCGCCCTCTTCCACTTTTTGCTGTTATTAGACTGTCTTCAGAGACGCCTTTGTGGCGAAGGAACCGCACAGCTGCTTTGGGAAGAAGAGTTCAAATCTATCATGAGCTTGCTAAGGTCCAAAGCTGAGCATGCGTGCCAGAGGGGCAATGAGTGTAGTTGGGCTCTAGGTGGCGCCAGAGCGCCCTGTCCCAAAGTCCTCTCCGCATAGTATTTATTTGATTCCCAAGGATGTTCATGGCGTCTCAGGAAATTAAGAAGACAGGACGTGACCCAAAAAGTGCGTACATTGTAGGTAAATGTCACTGTCCCCAGTAGCTATGGGAGTAGATAACCCTTTTCGCTGCGTTTTTTCGTTTATTCACTTAAAGAAATAGCCCTGTGAGACTGATTTGAAGGTAACAATATGCAATGGAATTACCATGGTGAACTCCTCCCATCTTGTCTACTGAAACTGTATTATTTCTGTTTTATCGAAGAATTATTTTCTTATTCTCTCTAATGGTTTGAACAATCTTTCATTCTTACATCGGGTAATCTGAGCAATGTAGTTGAGGATAGCAATACATAGTGTAACAAACTGTTGATTTGTGTTATTTTGTCTTGAGACTCTGTATCACTTCGAATGTTCTTGCTTTGATTTGTTTATGTTTGCGATGCTAGTATGCTGCTACTGTTCTGTTCGTTTGTTTCTCATTTACTACTCTCTTTAAAATTAAAAAAAGAAAGAAAGAAAGAAATAGCCCTGAGAGGGTCATGGCTGAGTCTTCCTGAATTGGACACCTGCATCTGTGTGTGTTCTTTTTGCAGAGGAGCTTGGGTCATTTGCGTCCCTTCACAGCCCTGCTGTGCTCTGCCCGGTCCCGAAGGACATGAGCCGTGGAGCAGTGCTGTATCAGCGCTGGCTTTCCTGGGGACCCCTACTCCGCCCACCAGTGGCTGTGACGTGCCTCTGCTCATGTCTCTGCCTGGAAATTGCTTTTTTTCCCCCAATCAGATTTTATAGGGACGTTTTAGGTATACATACACATTCATCATAGGTAATTTTTTTTTTTTTTTGTCTTTTTGAGACAGGATCTCCATATGCAATTGAGGCTGACCTTGAGCTCACTCTCTAGCCCAGGCTGGTCTTGAACTTGCAAGGATCCTCCTGCCTCAGCCTCCTGAGTGCTGGGATTATAGGCGTGCACCACCTCGCCCTGGTTTTTGAGAATTTGTACCTCTACATGATACAACTTGATTCTTTGTTTCCCCTTTCCCCTGCCCTCCCTTCAACCCCTCCTCCCTTCCCCATTTACAAAAGCTTTGTTTCTATTTTATCCTTCCTGTTTGTTTTCTTTTTTAAAACTTTTCCCTTCTTTCCTTTCTCCCTCCCTCCCTTGTTCCCCGTCCCTTTTGAATGTTTGTTACCCATTTTGGTCCTTATTTACGCTTTTGGTTTCTCACACCAGAGAAACAGTGAGGTATTTACAAAAGAAGCAGGCCTTCCAGTTGTTGGTCTCTGTCCTAATCACCTATGCTGCATCAGAAGTCACCCCCAAATTCGTGGTATTCAAATGGAATTTCCAGCCAGGCGTGGTGTTGCACGCCTGTAATCCCAGCCCTTGGGAGGCTGAGGCAGGAGGATCACCACAAGTTCAAGGCCAGCCTGGCTACATAGTGGGTTCGAGGCCAGCCTGGACTACAGGGAGAACTTGTCTCAAAAAAAAAAAAAAAAGGAATTTCCAGTTATGAAAAAGTAAGTGCACAAAGCAGTTGAACTCTGGATGGCACCTCAAGGTGTGCTGTGTGTTGTTTTGAGACGAAAGTTTTGCTGCAGATTGTCTCCCACCACTGGTTATTCCTCCTTTTTTTCTTTTTTGGTTTTTCTCCAGTACCGGGAATTGAACTCACGACCTTGCACTTGCCAGGCAGGCGCTGTGCCGCTGAGCTAAATCCGCAGCCCTGGTTATTCGTCCTTGTAGGCAGTCTGCACTGCACTGGGAAGCCCCATCAGCGGGTAGTAGCGTGCTCTTCAGTGGGACTGACAGCGGTGACGGAAAAGGCCATGTCTGGTGTAGCAGCTGCCAGCTTTGTGGGTATTGAGTACTTGTGATATGACCAGGGTGACTTTATTTCGTTTTAATGAATTTAAGCAATGATGTGTGGCTACTAGCAGAGGTCTAGGAGCTTGAGTAACTGGCCTCCTTCACCATGGCTTGGGAGTGACCCCATCTAGTGCTGAGCCATGTCTGTCCAGGGCCAAACCAGGAATCGAGGTGGGGACACACTGTCCTTCTGCAGTGGAGGCTTCTGTGTGTGTGTGTGTGTGTGTGTGTGTGTGTGTGTGTGTAGGGGTTGAACAGCCAGAGGTGCCCCATGCTTAGGGACCTGGGTCCTGGGTGTCGGCTGCGTGCCTTAGTCTTTCTTCACGCCCTCTCTGCAGGGGCCATCATGGGCAGGTGGCTTCCTTCTGTTCTGTGTCTGGAGCACAGGCTGCGATTTTGTGACAGCTGGGTGTGACCCACTTTATTCTCTGTCACCTGTCCCACAAGGCTGGCTTGGCACCCTTGCAACATGGCGTCCCCGAATTGCTGCGTTTCTGTGTGGTGGATGGCTTCCTTTCCTATCCGGTTAATAGTATCCCTTAGTTATTTGCACTGATCAGGCCCACAATCTCCCAAATGAAGGAGCGAAGGCTTAAATAAATGAGACAACTGAAATGATTTCAGGGCTCCAAGAGGGTCCAACCCTATTACAGACTTTGAGGTTCTCTGGGTTGACACCAAGAGTTCCCTGAGTGGCCCATATTTATTAGGTTTGCAAATAAAGGAGGGGGATACTGAAGAAAATGCAGAAATCTGCACAGGGCTTGGGAAGCCCATTACAGAATCCTCCAAGTAATACTTACATTAATGTGAGAGAACTATGTTATCACCAGGAAGGCCTTCACTGCCGGAGTGAGATGCCTTCAGATGCAGTCTCCTCTTAGGTACTGGGGGTTGGAGCCAATCATCCTCTGCTGTGACCTGATCTTGTCCTTTGAGGCGTCCAAGCTTCATAGGCCAATACAGGCTTCCTCAGGGACCAGTGACTCATAGAGGTTCACTTACTATGAGTCCACTGCCCAGCAAAGGACAAGGGCCCAAGCCTCAGACAACTCCCAAGTAAACATAGAAAGCCAGTTGGTTAATATTAAATCCTGCTCAGAGCTACTTCATAGTGGTCTCCACCACTTCCCACCTTCCTTCCTTCCCTCCTTCTTGCCTTTCTCCCTCCCTTCCTTCCTTCCTTTCTTCAGGAGGTGTAGGAGGAAGAGAAATGGCTTCCTATGAATGTGCTCAGATGTGCTGGAATGTCCTTCCTCCCACTCTGTTACTTAGGCAGGACCCTTGGGCCAGGCCAGGGTCAAGGGGAGGAATGTGAAACCACCTTCTTTGAAGATAGCAGACTTCACAGCCATTTTTAATCTGTCGCACACGCTTTGTGAAAGCAAAATTTATGGTTGGTATTTTTATATGTGCTTGGTGATGATAGTTTTTCTGGAAGAACATTCATTCTATCCACCGAGCGTTACTACCCCAGTAGTCCCAGCTGATACACCAGACAGCTGGGTGCCCGGGTGCAGACCGCCTCGCTTCAAGAGCCAGGCGTTTTCTTCTCTCAGCTTTCTTTTTCTTTCCCATTTGCCTCCATTTCAGTCAGTCTAGCTTATTTCTCTCATTAACTAACTATAAAGGAAGATGAAAGACGCAGTGGATATTATAGCCCCCAAAAAGCCAGCTGAAAATGAAATTCACATGGCCAGAAGCTTCCTCACAAGGATTTTAAGAAATTCCATGAGGTATAGTCTCGATTTTGTAATTTCTTACTTCTGTGGCATAGTGCATCTGTCTGTGATAGAGAGTCATCAAAACCTTTGTGTTATAAAGCTTTGGTTTCATTTTGGAAAATAATTATTGTTTCCTAATGTGTTGGCCTGCGGGGGGAAGAGTCTGATCTTTGTAAGGCAGCCAGAGTTGCTCGTTTGGGTTCTTTCTCCTTTCTTCCTTGCTCCATAAGGTGCCCACGGTGAGCTGATTGCTGCCTGCTAGGGCGGAAGTTGGGTGGCTTCCTTCTGGAGCTTTGGAGGAGCACCTGTGGGGCTTTCTAGCTGGACACACCTTACCACCTGGGCAGGTGCCACCATAGCGCTAAGAGGCCACACCAGAACTGTGAGCACGGCAGGAGCTCAGGAATGTGAAAAGCTCTGCTGAAATGGGCTCCAGCCTCTTGGTGTAGGGCGCTGTGATTACAGGGATGAGAACCCTTGGTCAGCCTCAGAGCTGCAAAGCTCAGAGGGAGGTACACCTGCTAGCCTTCCTTAGCAGCAAGACCGCAGGGTCTACTAGGTGACTAAGTCAGTGGAGATGAGCCACCCGAGCTCTGCGTGTCCCAGCCGACTCAGGGACTCAGTGACCTTTTTTGCACTCTGATCCTTTCTTCCCAAGGAGGCTCAGGGTCCTGTGCAAGGTTGTGCTGAAACTCAAAACATAGGAGAATCTACTTTTGTTCATGTTTTGGCAGGGGGGAGATTATTTATTTAGAACACGCTAGATGTTATTTAACACTTACAAAATATTTAATTGATAATAATTGTATGTATTAATGCAGGAATACATTCTACCCAATAAATGCTGCTGCACGTTTGCAGCCTGGGATTCCCACTTGGCACCAGGGCAGATTGGTCATTGGCAAGCTGCTAAAAAGAATGTGCATGCATGAAGACAGTGGCCAGCGCCCGAATGCCATGCCGTGGGTTCCTCTCAAGCAGCCAGCTCGGACTTCCTGTCTGGTTACACAGGCGTGCGGTGTGCAGAGCCCCTGCCTCAGTCATCGTCATTCTTTTCCAGGAGGACTGATGTGAGCTGGAGACCTCATTCGTGGCACGCCACCAAGTTCTCCGATGGCCACCCCGAGCCCGCGGCCTCTCAGTTCCCCGCCACCAGCGGCTGTTCTTCCTGGCACGGCCGACACCATGCCAGGTAAGTGCTCGCTGTCCTGCTGCCTGACTTTGGGGGTGATTTTGATGTTTCTGAGACCAGGCCATCTTTGAGACTTGGTTAGAGCTGGGACACTGAATTTTTCACTGGCCAGGGAATTATGTGGCAGTGTGTCTTGATTACTTTTCTCTCATTGCTGAGACAAAATACCTGATGCCCAAAATGAAGGAAGGAAAGGTTTATTTAGCTCACAGTTTGTGGAGGTTTCAGTCCATACTCGGCTGGCTCCAAGGCAGGGTGGCACATGGCAGAGGGCTACACTTCATAGCTGCAGTGGAAGACAGCAAAAGCAACAAGAGCACAAGGGAGGAGTGGCAGCTGAAAGAGTAAGCCTCTTTCCCTTCCTTACATTGTATGCAAACTATCTGCCCCAGGGTGAGTGTAGCACTCACGCCGGTAATCCTAGCATTGGGCTATGGATTGTTCAAAAACTCTAGAAACCCTCCCCATGACTGCATGAGGCTTTGGGGGGACATCCAGACGCAGACCATAACACAGTGGGAAACAAAAAACAACGTGACGAGATGGAGGATGAACAGGCCGTCTTCCTTGGTGTTGCTGGAGGTGAGGATCAGGATGAATCACTTCAGAGGCTACCCTTTGGGACTGTACTATGGGATATCAGGCAGTGGGGGTTCTGAGCCAGCTGGGTGGCTTTCTGTGGCACCTATGTATGTCCAGCCACCACCGTTCTTTCAGAGGTCTTACAGAGGATTGGAAGGCAGGGGATATTTATGGGGTGGCAGGTGTATTTTGTGAAAGTTCGTGGGAGATCCTATTGTGCCTATATCTTCTTCCCAGCCCTGTCTTGGTGTTAATGACAAACATCCCCATGTGTCTCTTATGAGAAGGATCACAGTAATAGCAGGTAGTGTGACTTCAGGATGTGTGTATGTGTATATCCCATGCACATGTGTATGTGTGCGTGTATGGGCGTATTTATGTGTTGTGTATGTTTATGTGTTTTGTCTGGTGTGTGTGTGACTATAAATGTGTATGGATGTATATGTATCCATATGGGTATGTTTGTGTGTGTACCTGTATGTACGTATAAGTGGAAATCTGTGCATATGTGTGTGTACATGCACATGTATGTGTGTGTTTGAAGCTAATATACTCACCTCAGAATCCATTTCTGTCCCTTAATAAATACTGGTCTGCTGCAAAACTGCAAACTAAGGTGCATATGTGATGTGAAGGAAATACCTCTCAAATACAGTGTTCAGGGTGACAAGAGAGGCTGGTATTGTATTTAGCCCAGAGAGTGTTTTTCAAAAACCAGATTCTTAGGGGGTTTTTTTGTTTGTTTTTTGTTTTTTGTCTTTTTTGAGACAGCGTCTTGCTGTGCAGTTCGGGTGGCCTTGAGCTCACTTTGTAGCCCAGGCTGGCCTTGAACTCGCAACAATTCTCCTGCCTCAGCCTCCTAAGTGCTGAGATTGCAGGTGTACACCACCACGCCTGGCTGAAAAACCAGACTCTTAACTGGACTGTAAAAAACATCAGGGAAAAATGGCCGTTTCGTTTGACTACCATAGTGACTTGAATGTGGAATTTGGCATCTCTCGATAAGAGAAGCATATATGCTGCTCACATCTGTAAGGGAACAGCACTTAGTGTTATCATATCTACTTGGATCTCGGATCAGCACTGGGGGAGAACAGTCAGGAACATGCTTCTTTTCTGAGCATACTGGGTCTGCCCTTAGAGGAAATAGCAGTGTCAAACCGGCCTGGTCATCTGCCTCCCTTAGATGACCTCGCCATTTTATCCTCCTGTGTCCTTGGCCTGGATGAAGGTTTCTTTCTCATCCTGATTCTCCCAAACCAATGTGGCCGCAGCTGTTTATCCCTCCACCCCCAGCATGCATTTTCCAGCTCTGTGAAACTTTAAGAAAAGCATTTAACGTCCTGGATAAATAGTTCAACATTAAGAGCCATTAGCCACACACATAGTTACTGTGAATGGTCAGGTGACCATTTATCCCGCAGCTGGGGGCCCATCCTGGTTGCTAGTGTGTGGTTTCCCATGTTTGTGTTTACTCAGTTTGCCAGACATTTCTCTCCTCGGTCAGATATCCAAGCAGCTGAGCATTTAGAGAGGTGCTAGCCACTTTCTCCTATTTAGGCTTGGAAAAGAAATGTTTCCGTGCAGTGCTGGGGCATGGTGGCACATGCCTGTAACCCCAGCTGTGTGGGAGGCTGAGGCAGGAGGATCACTGTGAGTTCCAGAGATCCCCAGACCTCCCTGTCCAGCAGCTGGGCTACAAAGTGAGTTCAAGGCCAGCTCAAACTGCACAGTGAAAAACAATCTCAAAAGACACACACACACAAAAGTTACCCTTCAATTTTTTCTTGTAATTTTAAATTATTCTTTGTTTGTTTTTGACTGTTATGGAGAGCAAACCAGAGCCCTGAATATGCTAGGCAAGCCCCCTGCCACTGAGTTACTCTCCCGGCCTGCGGTATTAAAGTTCTTCTCATTTGATGACTGCCCACGACACATGCGTAAAGCAGGGATCGGCAAACTGGTTCTGTAATGGGCCAGAGGGCAGATATTTCCAGCTTTGCCGGCCGGCCGGGCTGTCCTGGTTGCTCGGATTGTTTTAGTACAAAAGCAGCTGTAGACAGTGTGTGAACAGTTGGGCACAGTTGTGTTCCAGTAAACCTTTGTATGTGAATTGAAATTTGTGATTCACACCGTTTTCACAGGTCAGGCAGCAGTAGTATTCCTTTGGTTTCTTTTCCCTTGACCATTTAATAAGATAGAAGAAGAAGAAAAAAAATTCCTCAGCTCCTGAATTGTTACTCACCAGTCTCTGCCATTAATGACCAATGGTCCACAGAAGAGTTAACTCAGGCACTGCCTGCCTCTACTACAGGAGTTAGGGTAAAAAAATCCCCAGCAGTGAAAGGGATCTATTGAAAAGGCATTCAGCAGGGAGAACATAGTCTTTCTAATCTGGCCTCCTGAAGTGCCTTGCCCTCTGCTCCCCTCCCCTCCTCACACTTCTTTCTCCTGTCTCTCCC